GCAACACAAAAAGCAAACAAAAAAGCCACAACACATCAAAAAGCCACAACACATTAAAAAGCGCAACACGTCAAAAAGCCGCAACACGTCAAAAAGCCGCAACATCAAAAAGCTCAACACATCAAAAAGCCGCAACACATCAAAAAGCCGCAACACAGCAAAAAGCCACAACGGAAGTGACCACGGGACTCTATTTTCCAACGGACCGATCGAGCAGCAAGTGAAGAAGAAGAACTACAACATGAAAAGTAAAGGAACAGGAGAAGTTGGAAACGTAAGTAAAAGTAATTTATTGTTTTATCATTATTCTTCTTCTTCACTTGCCGCTTGATCGGTCCATCGGAAAATAGAGTCCCGCGGTCACTTCCGTTGTGGCTTTTTTTTGATGTGTTGTGGCTTTTTGATGTGTTGTGGCGTTTGTATTTGTTGGCGTTTGCATTAAAATAGAGTCCCGGTCATTTCCGTTGTGGCTTTTTTTGGTGTGTTGTGGCTTTTTGTCGTGTTGTGGCATTTGTATTTGTTGCGGCGTTTGCGTTTGTTGTGACCCTCTCGGCTTCCGTACACGTCAGTGGCATGGAACTAGTCAAGTAAACCGTATAAGTAGCACGTTATTACAAAGAATTAACCCGTGTATTGATCCTTTGCAGCTGACGTCAACCACATTCTCTGGGGGTGCGATGCTAACTGAAAGCACTGCTCTGTCTGAAGATGTTACTCAAGTTTGACTTTAGGCCCAGAGCGACGTCACTGCAAAGTTTCAGATGGTTTTAGACAATATCACAACACTCTATAGCGAGGGTGGACAGTTTGTTTTTTTTCCCCGTGGCTCCACATAAGAAATAGAAAATACTGTAGAGGCCAACATGTTTAACTCAATTCTGAATCATATTAATTGTATTTCTTTACATAAAAAGCAGTAAATGAAAAAGCGAGGCTGCTGAACAAAAAATGTCATTAAAAAACACCTCTGAAATTAAAGCAATGCAGATTCAGTCCATGCATGAGGCAAAACTATAAAATGTGTTTATTTTGGAATTCTAAATGAGCTTAAATGAGCCGGTCAGAGTCAAACAAAGGGCCGTATGTGACCCTGGAACTGAACAATGCCCAGGTCTGATCTAGAGGTTTATAATAGACCCATATTATACAAGCTTGTCCATCTTCTTTGGGTGTCCATGTTTTTTTTTTTTGTTTTTTTTTTCCACAGTTTCCACATATTGGCAAACATAATACATAATATCTGCCAAATCCCTGACCTGAACATATTTAAGTTTAAGTGTGTGCCTATTGTGGGATTATAATTTAAAATTGTGGGGAAAATAAAACTGAAATTGAATTGAAAATTGAAATATATCCATTGGTTTCAGAATAAAACAAAATCAGGGCTGCTGTCATAGCAACTGACAATTTAACAGAATATTATAGTGTTTGAATGGTTTCTAGAAAATTGCGGAAATTATGTCATATAATTTCCTCAAAAATAAGGAATAAAATGATGAATCATTTTAGAAATATTCTCGCACAAATGAAAACTGTCACAGTAAAAAACAAAACCGCACAAATGAAATACAAACGTGTCGTATAATTTTCTGCTGTTTTCAGGTTATTTATGTAATTTTGAAGGGCTTTATGACGTCATCAGCCAAAAATAAAACTTTTAATATCCTAAGATATTTTGCAGCACAAACGAAACACAAAAGATTGACTTAATTTTGTGTCGTTTTAGAGCATTTTGAATCTTCCTTGAGCTGCTGAACCTAATTTGACCTATAAAAGAATCATTAATATCTCCAAAACTAAAACAGAAAAAAAAAAAACTTCCTGCAGCATAAACGAGGGACATAGTTTAGTTTTTTTGGTGGTTTGCGTTTGATGAGGGTCGACTTCACACAGGTGGATTCTAGTGTTGAAAATATCACAACAACAACGAAAACGACAAGAGGAGGAAGTTCAAACACATGAACACAGTCGCAGGTTACAGAGTCTAGTTATAATTAGTTAATTAATAAGATGCACGATGAGGTGGGTGTGTTATCCTGCGTGTGTGTGTGTGGGTGTGTGTGTGTGTGTGTGTGTGTGTGTTTACAGAAATGTTTTGTCAATAGGCAAATGATGAGGTGAGTTCACATCTGGATTTTCCCCATGAATCTTTACAACAAAACAGATGAACGACCTGCAGCACAAACACTCGATCCACAGGAGAGAGAAAAGACCAAGGAGCAGAACACAGACGTAGAAAACCAGGAGTCCTCAAGTCCCGGCCCGTGGACCAGTACCGGGCCACGGGTCGTTTGGTACCGGGCAAAAAAAGTAAAAAAACCCCCCTCCCATACAGATCTCTAAACTAGGAATAAACCAGGACTAAACCAGGACTAAACCAGGACTAAACCAGGATTAAACCAGGACTAAACCAGGATTAAACCAGGACTAAAAAAGGATTAAACCAGGTCTAAACCAGGACTAAAAAAGGATTAAACCAGGACTAAACCAGGATTACACTAGGATTAAACCAGGACTAAAACAGGATTAAACCAGGACAAGAAAAGGATTAAACCAGGTCTAAACCAAGTCTAACCCAGGACTAAACCAGGACTACACTAGGACTAAACCACTAACCAATAAACCAGGATTAAACCAGAACTAAAACAGGATTTAATCCAGGACTAAACTAGGATTAAACCAGGACTAAACCAGGATTAAACCAGGACTAAACCAGGATTAAACCAGGACTAAAAAAGGATTAAACCAGGTCTAAACCAGGTCTAAACCAGGACTACACTAGGATTAAACCAGGACTAAAACAGGATTAAACCAGGACTAGAAAAGGATTAAACCAGGTCTAAACCAGTCTAAACCAGGACTAAACCAGGACTAAACCACTAACCAATAAACCAGGATTAAACCAGAACTAAAACAGGATTTAACCAGGACTAAACTAGGATTACACCAGGACTAAACCAGGTCTAAACCAGGTCTAAACCAGCACTAAAACCAGGACTAAATCATGCCATCGAAATATTGTCGGACATAAAATCGGCCCGTGGAGCTAAAACGTTTGAGGTCCACTGGTGTAAACTATGAACCTGAATCTTACACCTGTTTGAGTCACGACTTTTTAAAGAGCTCATATTAGGCAATTTTCTGATCTTTTTTAATGTCGTTTCCTCATCACAAACAGACCTGGAGTTGAGTTTTGTTTCATTCACACATTTAACACACAAACCTGCAGATTTAGGCCGAGTTCTTCTCTAAAATCTGAAAACACTGAGTTCCATCCGATGACGTCATGTCGTAATACAGGTTTTTAAACTCACCGAACTGACAATTTCTGCTGAACAAAAAGGAGGTAAAAGGAGCCGTCAACTTGAAAAACACCTCTACATGACATCACAAGGTGGAACAGAGTGTTTTGAGTTTATGTAGACGGAGTAAAACACGCGTGAATGAAACAAAACACAACTCCAGATAAAAACATTATAACCAGATCCAAACCCAGGACTAAAACCAGGACTAAACCAAGACTAAACCAGGTCTAAAACCAGGAATAAACCAAGACTAAACTAGGTCTAAACCAGGTCTAAAATCAGGTCTAAACCTGATCTCAAACCAGGACTAAAACCAGGTTTAAACCAGGTCTAAATCAGGACTAAACCAGGACTAAACCAGGACTAAACCAGGACTAAACCAGGACTAAAACCAGGAATAAACCAAGACTAAACTAGGTCTAAACCAGGTCTAAAATCAGGTCTAAACCTGATCTCAAACCAGGACTAAAACCAGGTCTAAACCAGGACTAAAACCAGGACTAAACCAGGACTAAATCAGGACTAAACCAGGACTAAAACCAGGACTAAAACCAGGACTAAATCCAAGGACTAAACCCAAGGACTAAACCCAAGGACTAAATCCAAGGACTAAAACCAGATCTAAACCAGGTCTAAATCAGGACTAAATCAGGTCTAAACCAGGACTAAAACCAAGGACTAAATCCAAACTAAAACCAAGGACTAAATCCAAGGATTAAACCCAAGGACTAAATCCAAGGACTAAATCCAAGGACTAAATCCAAGAACTAAAACCAGGTCTAAACCAGGTCTAAACAGGTCTAAACCAGGTCTAAACCAGGACTAAACCAAGGACTAAACCAGGACTAAACCAAGGACTAAACCCAAGGACTAAAACCAGGTCTAAACAGGTCTAAAACAGGACTAATCTAAGGTATAAATCAGGTCTAAACCAGGACTAAACCCAGACTAAAACACAATTTAATCAGGTCTAAACCAGCTCTAAAACCAGGACTAAACCAACTCTCAAACTGTCAGTTTCTGCTGAACTAAAGGTAAAATGCCTTGAAAACTCCCCCCTACATGACATCACAAGGTGGTACTGAGCATTTTGAGCTTATGTTGATTATACACGCGTGAATGAAACAAAACATAACTCCAGGTCTGTTTTTGACGCGGTAACAACATTATAACTCGACTTAAAGCTCATTTTTTTGTAATATCGGACCTTTAAATCAACAGTTTCCAGCGGAAGTCTGAAGTCTGTCAGCTTTTCTCGGTCTGTTTTTGTCACGCTGTGGAGTGAGTCAGAGTCCAACGACTATAAGAGCAGCTCCTCGGATTGAGAGAGACTAGATTTTCAAAATAAAATATCAGTAAAACTCAGAAATTAACTGGGTTTGTCGTGGTTGTTCATGATAGAAGCGTGAATCGAGTGCGTAATGAAGCGAAAACGTGCGTAATTGTTCAGTATAATCACATTTTCTTTGGTGTTTTGGTCATGTTTACGCAGCTTTTCTGTATTTTAACTAAAAATTTGACAATGTTTGCCTCTGTTTACAGTTGGAAGGGATCAAATTGGTCAAAAAATATGGACACATGGGACGTTTCTTTGGATAAATCTGTGCCAAATCTGTGTTTTTTGGATAAATCCGCTGGCGCAGGGGACACAGGGCTCAAAACTGGGGGCAAAAACTCAACTCTTGAAAAGTTTACCTTGAGCAGAAACTCCTTCCCCGCGGTCCTTATCTCGAACTGGCCCTCCTCTCCCTCCAGGTCGTAGCTGAAGCAGGCGTCGCTGATGTCGATGTGTCCGAGGGGCAGCGCGTCCTGGGGAGTCTTGAAGTAGTACAGATAACACTTTCTGGGGTCGTAGACGAACCAGCGCGGCTTGTACCCCCTCAGAGGCCCTTTCCCGGACTGTTTGGTGAGGTACCCGCAGAGTTTGGAGGCCTGCTGCCCCGCGCCCTCCGCCTCGGGCACGTCCAGGGACTTGGAGGGGACCATGCGCGGACAGGTGCCCGGGCTCGCCTCACCCTCGCCACCGCCGCCGCCGTCCTCCTCTTCGCGCATCTTTGCTCCGGGTGAGTTGTTGCGGAGCGGCGGTGCATGGATGTGTGCACCAGCGGATGTCCACGCCTGTTTCCATCCGCATGACTGCTAGATCTGAGCGCGGGGGATTGTGGGAAATGTAGGCACCGCGCGTAAAGGCGACGTGTACAGTGTTTTAGGTGCGCGGGCCGCTAGGGGGCGGAAGTGACGCGTGACACAGTTCAGTTCTCACCACTGTTGGGCAAGTGACTTTAAAACTGTAATGTTTTATTTATTTATGACTTGTTTCTGTCTTTTCAAAGTAATTCGTTACATTACAATATTACTGTGTTTAAAACCTAATATGTGTTGGTCATGTATGTGCACATATCTGCCCCAGTTTTAAACCAGAAAAGTTCCAGGTGTCCCTATTGTTTTAAACAATCTGATCTCTGCCAACAGTAAAGAGACATAAATTGACATTTGTTTTGGTAAAATCCAGAAAACCTTCTTAAAAACGGCCAAAACACAAAGAAAATATGACTATACTGACTCATGTTCGTTATGAACAGGCTGAGTCCAGAACAGTTTCCCGTAGCCTCCTAGGACCTGGTGTCCACAGAGTGGACATACATGTCCAACACATGTTGGGTTGTTCAGGCACTTAATAAAAATAGTTTTTGCAAATCATTATTCAATTGAGATTTTATTGTGTTCCATCAAAATGATTAAAACATAAAATGAATGTTTTATAAATCATATGTGGACGTCATTTTTCTCAGAAACTACATCATGTAAAAATATAATTCTTTGTTTTTGCTTCATCAGGTCCAATCAGCCCAAATAACAAAGAGAAATCAATAAAGACACAAGAGTTCGGGTCCTAGAAGGTTAATTATGCGCTTGTTTCACAATTATATTATTACCATCCATCCAAACCAGGGATGTCCCAGTTTTTTATTTTGAAAATCTGGTCACGGTGGCTCTGGGGCTGCAGGAGCTCGTGGATTGGGCCATAAGTATTGTGCTGAATAACAAAAATTTGCATAATTAAATGTCTGTTACCACTGTAAATGTTTAATTCTGATGTCTAACTTTGTGCACAGTGCAGCCTCCTGTTTTTAACTGTTTTATTTATGCAGCGTTTTTGAGTGTTTAGAAAAGTTCTATATAAATATCAATCAATCAAACTTTATTTGTTTAGCACTTTTCATACATTTGAAATGTAGCACAAAGTGCTTCACATGCAACAGAAAAAATTACAATATTAAAAATAACAGCAACCCCCCCACCCCATTATTTCATGCATATATACAACAATAAAAACAATAAAAACATAAACATAAAGCTCCTAAAGGTTATAGTAAATATATAAATGGAGAGCTAAAAACAGATGGAGACTAAATAAAATATTAATTGTAATTTAATTAAAAGCAAATAATAATAATAATAATAATAATAATAATAATAATAATAAAACAAGTAAAAGTTTCAATTAAAAGCTAAATTAAAAAGATACGTTTTGAGTTTACTTTTAAAAATCTGAACACTCGCAGCGGACGTCAGATCCTCAGGTCGACTGTTCCACAAACGGGGGCCGTAAAAGCTGAATGACGCCTCAGCGTGAGTTTTAGTCTGGACTCTTGGGACAGTTAAAAGACGAGACCCCGAGGACCTGAGAGTCCGAGAGGCTCATATGATAAAAGCAGATCAGATAAATAAATAAGACTAAGACCATTAAAAGCTTTATAAACCAATAAAAAGAACTTTAAAATCTCCCCTGAAGCTCACAGGAGCCAGTGCAGAGACTTCAGTACTGGGGTGATGTGCTCTCGCTTCCTGGTCCTCGTCATCAGTCGTGCTGCAGAGTTTTGGAGGAGCTGTAGTGGAGCTGTAGTTTTCTTTGGAAAACCAGAAAGGAGAACATTACAGTAATCAACACAGTTTGTAATAAAAGCATGTATTAAAGTCTCTGCACTGGTTTGAGAGAGAAATGGTTTGACTCTGGCAATATTTTTTAGATGATAAAAAACAGATTTAGTGATGGACCTGATGTGTGGCTCAAAGCTAAACTCACTATCAAGAATAACTCCTAAACCTTTTACCCTCTCACAGGGTTCAGTGAGGAGGTTTGGAGCTCAGAGTTTGAGTCTCTCTCTGAGCTTCAGGACCAATAATTAAAACCTCAGTTTTGCCCTGGTTGAGCTGGAGGAAGTTTGCTGCTAAAATGTTATTACGTTGTTATTACTATTTTATTATTCACCAAAAAATGTATAATGATTTTCTGTTTTGAAAGCATCTAAATGTTTCCCATCTAAGTCTTGACATGGATCTTATACAAACTAAAGCCTGTTCAATTTCTGCAAACACTAAACTGAGAAGCTCTCAGGCTTTTTTGTTTTGTGCTCATTGGAGGAAAAATGTCGCAGAGTCACTCACCGTCTGTATGAAGACATTTATAGACTCTCCTCGGGGCAGATCAGCTGGTCTCTAAGAGCAGGTCACAGTGTTTTACTCTTTTGCTTCATTTGCAACAAGCCAAGAAGAATGGAGCTGTATTTCACCAACACAGTGATTTGGCTAAAATGTATTAAAAGTCATAATTACACCCAAGTTTTGAAGCAAAATCAAAATAATAAAGTAGATTTTATACTGAAACACATGAGGTAAATACAGTTTCCTGTTTAATTCTCTGGAACAGAACATGAAAATGCCAGTACTGTTTATTTAAAGCAGTGATCTCTAACCTTTTTATTCTAGTGAACCACATTTACAAAAAGAAAATGCCAAAGAGCTGCTACTTTTAACTGTCACAAGAAATTGAGTGTAAGAAAACCTTAGATGGGGAACAGTTCAATGTCGATAAAACAAATTACTTTCTTAGTGCACAAAGTTATCAGGGCAACTGCGGGGTCTTAAAAGTCTTAAAAACGTTCTTAAATTTCATGTTCCTAAATTAAGTCCATTAAATTATGTTGTCCAAGTCTTATTTTTTCACAAAGGTCTTACATTTCAGGAGCCTATTGTGCAATGTTAACACAGAGAGGAAAAAAACAACTGGGGAGATCCTCAAAGTTTTCCTTCCACCGCCGGACAACGTCCCCAGTCGAGGTCAGCAGCTCTCCCCCCGCACTGTAAACAGTGTTGGTGAAGAACTGCTTCCCCCTCCTGAGGCGCTGGACGGTTTGCCAGAATCTCTCTGACGCCGTCCAATAGTCCTTCTCCATGGCCTCCCCGAACTCCTCCCAGCTCCGAGATTTTGCCTCCGCAACCGCACGGGCTGCAGCACGCTTGGCCCGCCGGTACCTGTCAGCTGCCTCAGGAGTCCCCCGAGCCAGCAAGGCCCGATAGGACTCCTTCTTCAGCTTGACAGCATCCCTTACTTCCGGTGTCCACCACCGGGTTCGGGGGTTGCCGCCGCGACAGGCACCACAGACCTTACGCCCACAGCTCCGAGCAGCTGCATTGACAATAGAGGCCGAGAATGAAGCCCACTCGGACTCCATATCTCCAGCCTCCCCCGGAATCCGGGAGAAGTCCTCCCGGAGGTGCGAGTTGAAGGTCCCTCTGACAGAGGCTCCGCCAGACGTTCCCAACAGACCCTCACTACACGCTTGGGCCTGCCAGGTCTTTCCGGCTTCCTCCTCCGCCAGCGAACCCAACTCACGACCAGGTGGTGATCAGTTGACAGCTCAGCCCCTCTCTTCACCCGAGTGTCCAAGACACGCGGCCGGAGATCAGATGACACGACGACAAAGTTGATCATCGACCTCCGGCCTAGGGTGTCCTGGTGCCACGTGCACTTATGGACACCCTTGTGCTCGAACATGGTGTTCGTTATGGACAAACCGTGACTAGCACAGAAGTCCAATAACAAAACACCACTCGGGGAGGGAGGCCGTTCCTCCCAATCACCCCTCTCCAAGTGTCACTGTCGTTGCCCACGTGGGCGTTGAAGTCCCCCAGGAGAACAACGGAGTCCCCGGTCGGTGCACTGTCTAGTACCCCTCCCAAGGACTCCAAGAAGGCCGGGTACTCGAGTACTCAGCACTGCTGTTCGGCCCGTAGGCCGACACCACAGTGAGAGACCTGTCCCCGACCCGAAGGTGCAGGGACGCGACCCTCTCGTTCACCGGGGTGAACTCCAACACACAGCGACTGAGCTGTGGGGCAATGAGCCCACACCAGCCCGCCGCCGCTCCCCCCCCCACACCAGCCCGCCGCCGCTCCCCGCGGCCAACGCCAGAGAAATGGAGAGTCCAGCCCCTCTCAAGGAGTTGGGTTCCAGAGCCCAAACTGTGCGTGGAGGTGAGGCCGACTATATCTAGTCGGTAACGCTCAACCTCCCGCACAAGCTCAGGCTCCTTCCCCCCCAGCGAGGTGACATTCCATGTCCCCAGAGCCAGTCTCCATGTCCGGAGATCTGGTCGTCGAGGCCCCCGCCGTCGACTGCCGCCCAGATCTCTCTGCACCGGCCCCATATGGCTCCTCCCGCGGGTGGTGGGCCCACATGAGGACAGCCCCACATCCTTTGTTCGGGCTGAGCCCGACCGGGTCCCGTGGGGGAAGGCCCGGCCACCAGGCGCTCACCGTCGACCACTCACCCCAGGCCTGGCTCCAGGGTGGGGCCCCGGTGACGCCAATCCAGGTGACATAACTGGCCTCCGTATGTCACTCATCATGTGGGGCGTCTGAACCGTTCTTCGTCTGACCCGTCCCCCAGGACCTGTTTGCCTTGGGTGACCCGACCAGGGGCATGAAGCCCCCGACAACAGAGCTCCCGGGATCATTCGGTCACTCAAACCCTCCACCACGATAAGGTGACGGTTCAAGGAGGAGGCATCAGAATGATACAATTATAATAGTTCATCAGATTTGAGTCATTCAGCACATGATGTATGATTCAGAAATCCTTTGGCGATGCTTGGAAGGAGGTGGAGAGATACTCGAGCTCCTGAGCTACAAGTTGCAGACCAAAGGTTTAAGTCTGGACACTGTGCTGCTGGACACTCCAGGTTTTCAAACTTTACCATCTTGTTCTTTTTTCCTGAGGTCGTTTTGGCAGAGCTTGGACTTGTGTTTTGTATCTTTTATCTTTTTTTTTTACCTTTGTCTGTTCAGTTTTTACCTTTGCACCATTTCAAACTCTTCATTGGACTTGCACAAATTGAACTGCAATAAATAACTGGAAAAATTAGGATGTTCTAAAACTTTTGTGTAAATAAGTTACTGAAAATCATCAAAATGACCAGAGCTGGAGCCGACATTGTGTTAATAACGAAACTGACCTAGACAGAACAAGTACAGAGCAGGAAATGTAAAAATAACCTCAGGTGGGTTTCTGTGGCTTTTGTGCAACTTTAAGCTAAAACTGGAAACAACACGAGTTCTTCAGCTCTTACACAACACACACTCTGACACTCTGACACTCTGACACTCTGACACTCTGAGACTTGAGACTTTGAGACTTTAAGATCATCTTTATGTTGCGTGTAAATATAGTTCACATTAAACATTCACACCAGAGCGAGAGAAGCGGAAGCAAACACGACCCCACAGCAGCTCACAGCACATCAGAGGCTTTTGAACAATGAACACAGATCAAAGTACAGATCTGATCTATTTCTTTTCTCATATTGAACTGTGTGTTGCAACAGTGGAATTTTCCCATTGTGCAACATTCTGTGGGTCATTTGTTGATTCGTTTTTCAAAATAAAACAAATTTTTTTCATTATTTGTCTCCAAAACCAAAATGAAAAAAAAGGATAACGACTAAAAGTGCAATGCAGGACTGAACCAAGACTAAACCAGGACTAAACCAGGACTAAGTGTTGGGCGTAGACTGTTGGGTGATCAGGACTCAGACCGGGACTGAGACCAGCACTGAGACTGGTTCAGTCTTGGTTTAGTCCTGGTTTAGACCTTCTTTAGACTTGGTTTAGACCTGGTTTACACCTGGTTTAGACCTGGTTTAGACCTGGTTTTAAACCTGGTTTAGACCTGTATTTGTCCTGTTTTAGTCCTGGTTTAGACCTAGTTTTAGTACTGGCTTAATTCTGGTTCAGTCCTGGTTTAGACCTGTTTTAGTCCTTGTTTAGTCCTGGTTTAGTCCTGGTTTAGACCTTCTTTAGTCCTGGTTTAGATCTGGTTCAATCCTGGTTCAGTCCTGGTTTAGACCTGGTTTAGTCCTTGTTTAGTCCTGGTTTAGTCCTGGTTTAGACCTTCTTTAGTCCTGGTTTAGATATGGTTCAATCCTGGTTCAGTCCTGGTTTAGACCTGGTTTAGTCCTGGTTTTAAACCTGGTTTAGACCTGGTTTAGTCCTGGTTTTAAACCTGGTTTAGACCTGATTTAGTCCTGGTTTCAGACCTGTTTTAGTCCTGGTTTAGATATTTTTTTAGTCCTGTTTTAGTCCTGGTTTAGACCTGGTTTAGACCTGGTTTAGTCCTGGTTTAGTCCTGGTTTAGACCTGGTTTAGTCCTGGTTTTAGTCCTGGTTTAGTCCTGGTTTAGTCCTGGTTTAGTCCTGGTTTAGACCTGGTTTAGTCCTGGTTTAGTCCTGGTTTAGACCTGGTTTAGACCTGGTTTAGACCTGGTTTAGACCTGGTTTATTCCTGGTTTACATGACAAACAGTGACGTAACTGTGATACTTTCTCCATTTGAACTACAAAAACAATAACCCCAAATTGCTCATGCTCTTTTCCCGTTCTTCATCTGTCCCTCTTTTCTCTTTTCTCTTTTCTCTCTTTTTCTCTCCGTGGATTTTGTGACACTTGTGGTTTATGATTAAGTGCTCTGTCACGAGAGCGTAAATAAAACTGATCAGAGCTTCCACCGTCTGCAGGGGGGAGCGGCGCATGACTGCAGAGGGTGGAACCGCGCGACGTCTCTGCAGAAACCGCTCGGCTGCACCTCAGTTTCCACCTCTTCAGGAAATGCGCGCTCTTGTTTTCTGCAGCAGCTACGGGTCGATGCAAATCAAAGTCCCTGCTCTGAGCGTCTCTGATGTAGCAACTCAGCGACTCGGAGCTTTCCAACGCCACTGGAAAACTGCAAATGTCACAGGTTTGTTCTGGAAGTTTGGCTGAAGTCTTAGAATCTGATCATCAAGGAGCAAGCACATCTTAGGTCTGGTGAAGCGCACGATGACACAAGAGGAGAGTCAGTACGTCTCCCATGCAGGTGAGGACAGCAGAGCCACGTTAAGGCTGGAGCTCTTCAAATTTACTCAAAATATTCAGCTTTTTTTGTGTTTTTTTTTTTTTTTTTTAGAGATTTCAGCTGCAAAGAGGAGGAATCACTTGTACAGACAACAGCCTCCTCAGACAAGAAACAGGAGCTCGCATTGTCTGAGGAACTGTCTACGATTCTGTTTTAAGGTAAGAGCCCAAAATAGAAAGAGAAAAGCGAAAGCCTAATTTGGTTTTTTTGTTATTTCTCGATGCGGAATTTAAACTCAGACTTACCGCATCCTCAGACATGGACTTTCTTAGTTTTAGTTCCCATTTTAATGTTGAAAATAGTAATAAAAACCCATGTTAATATCTTAAATAGTCATAAAAAACAATGTTAATGTTAAAAATAGTAATAAAAACTCATGTTAATGTCATAAATTGTCATGAAAACGTTATATTAATGTTATAAATGGTCATAAAAACGAACATTAATGTTATAAATCGTCATAAAAACCCATGTTAACGTTATAAATGCCCATAAAAACTCATGTTAATGTTGAAAATAGTCATAAAAACTCATGTTAATGTCATAAATATTTTTTTAAAAAGACGTTAATGTTTAAAATAGTCATAAAAAACTATGTTAATGTCATAAATTGTCATAAAAACCAACATTAATGTTAAAAATAGTCATAAAAAGCCACGTTAAGTTAATGCAAAAGTCTAATTTGCTTTTTTTTGTTGTTTTTCTGTCAAGAATTTAAACTCAGACTGACCGCATCCTCAAACATGGACTTTCTTATTTATAGTTCCCAAGTTAATGTTAAAATAGTAATAAAAACCCATGTTAATATCTTAAATAGTCATAAAAAACAATGTTAATGTTAAAAATAGTTATAAAAACTCATGTTAATGTCAAAAATTGTCATGAAAACTTATATTAATGTTATAAATAGTCATAAAAACCCATGTTAATGTTATAAATAGTCATAAAAAGGCATGTTAAGTTAATGCAAAAGTCTAATTTGTTTTGTTGTGCGGAATTTAAACTCAGACTTACTGCATCCTCAGAAATGGACTTTCTTATTTTTAGTTCCCAAGTTAATGTTACAAATACTCATAAAAATGCAAGTTAATGTTAAAAACAGTCATAAAACCCCATCTTGATGTAATAAATACTCATAAAAAACAACGTTAATGTTAAAAAATGCCATAAAAACTTTTAAAACTATTAAAACTATAAAAACTATGAATGTTATAAATGGTCATAAAAACAAACATTAACATTATAAATAGTCATAAAAACCCATGTTAATGTTATAAATGCACATAAAAACTCATGTTAATGTTGAAAACAGTCATAAAAACCCATGTTAATGTCATAAACATGCATAAAAAAAGACGTTAATGTTAAAAATAGTCAGAAAAACTATGTTAAGATCATAAATTGTCATAAAAACCAACATTAACGTTATAAATTGTCATAAAAACCAACGTTAATGTTAAAAATAGTCATAAAAACATTTTAATGTTAAAAATAGTCAGAAAAACTGACATTAATGTTATAAATAGTAATAAAAAGTCATATTAATGTTATAAACCCAAGTTAATGTTAAAAATAGTTATAAAAACCCATGATAATGTCATAAATTGTCATAAAAAGCCAAGTTAATGTTATAAATACTCATAAAACTAACATTGATGTCATAAATAATCATAAAAACTCATTTTAATGTTATAAATAGTCATAAAAAGGCATGTTAATTTGCTTTTTTTGTTGTTGTTTTGCTGTGCGTAATTTAAACTCAAACTTATTGCGTCCTCAGACTTGGACTTTCTGATTTTTAGTTCCCAAGTTAATGTTACAAATGCTCATAAAAATGCATGTTGTTGTTATAAATAGTCATAAAAACCCATGTTAAGATTCAATTGAGTTCTTAATTTTTCTAAATGTTTTTGTGTTTTGTGTTTTGTGTTGGGATGGAAACTAAAATTAAAAGTGTAGAGAAGGAGGTAGGAGGCTAAGACACAAGGAAGTAGGAGGCAGGAGACAAAGAAGTAGGGGACAAGGAGGATATGAGACTAGTAGAGAAGGAAGTAGGAGGCTAGTAGGGAAGGAGGCAGGAGGAAGGAGGCTTTGAGACTAGTAGGGAAGGATGTAAGAGGCAATGAGACAAGGAAGTAGGGAAGTAGGAGACAAAGAAGTAAGGGACAAGGTAGGAGGCTATGAGAGTAATAATAGGGAAGGAGGTAGGAGGCTAGGAGACAAGGAAATAGGAGGTAGGCTACAAAGAAGAAGAAGGCAGGGAGGCTATGAGACTAGTAGGGAAGGAGGTAGGAGACTAAGAGGCAAGGAAGAAGGAGGCAGGAGACAAAGAAGTAGGAGTCAAGGAAGCTATGAGACTAGTAGGGAAGGAGGTAGGAGGTAGGAGACTAGGAGGCAAGGAGGTAGGAGACTAGTAGGGAAGGAAGTAGGATGCTAAGACTAGTAAGGAAGGAGTTAGGAGGCTAGGAGACTAGTAGGGGAGGAGTTAGGAGGCTAGGAGACTAGTAGGGAAGGAAGTAGGAGGCTAAGACTAGTAAGGAAGGAGGTAGGAGGTTAGGAGACTAATAGGGAAGGAGGTAGGAGACTAGGAGACTAGTAGGGGAGGAGTTAGGAGGCTAGGAGACTAGTAGGGAAGGAAGTAGGAGGCTAAGACTAGTAAGGAAGGCGGTAGGAGACTAGGAGACTAATAGGGGAGGAGTTAGGAGGCTAGAAGACTAGTAAGGAAGGAGGTAGGAGGTTAGGAGACTAATAGGGAAGGAGTTAGGAGGCTAGAAGACTAGTAGGGGAGGAGTTAGGAGGCTAGGAGACAAGTAGGGAAGGAAGTAGGAGGCTAAGACTAGTAAGGAAGGAGGTAGGAGACTAGGAGACTAGTAGGGGAGGATTTAGGAGGCTAAGACTAGTAAGGAAGGAGGTAGGAGACTAGGAGACTAGTAGG